AAAAAAATAAATAAATAAATCAAGTGATCATTTGCATTTCAATGGTCAAGTCATTAGTCTAAAGGAGAAAAATGAGTGCAAAGATGGATGACCGAAATTTGACTAATGTTTAGAGTACATGCCTTATAAGTGCAAATTACTCGCATGTGTGTAGAGGAGGGGAAATTGACCAAGATAGGCTAGTGGACTGAATCAAAGCCAAGATAAGGTTGCTGGATTTGATCAGCCCAAATCATTTCACATCATCGATGTCCAATGAGCTAATGTGGAACCACTGATCATGTGTAAACCACGTAATTTATAGATAAAATAGATCTTTTATTGTACGAAAATTTCTTAAAAATTCTAACTTTCATATTTCAATGGTTTTTGAGTGTTTCTTAACAACTATGTTGCATTGAGTTTTTGCATGCTTAGAAACTCTTGTACCCGCTTGTATTCATATCTTCCATCGAAGTGCGGCTCATTTAACTTTTGATGGGTTTTATATTTATATTTTGTTGGTACTTTCATTATGTTGTATTAAACATGACAATAACAAATTTCGTTACGTATCTCTTCTCGACTCGTGTCTTGTTTTATTTTATTTAATTTAACATTTAAAGCAAGGCTACTGTGTTCTAACATATTAGCTTTCTCAATTGATCATCCAGTATTGTTTTGAGCATATTTTACTCAGTTGTTAACAAAATTAATTTACCCAAGGTTCACTGCAGTCTTTTTCTAGCCATATGCCCTTATGGTTCCACTCTTGGACATACAGACTTCAACCTCCAAGGTTACAACATAGTGGTCAAAAATTGATACTTCCTCGTGCTGCCAGTATTCTATGATTTAATTTTTTGGAAGCATTTAACTAATTTTCGAAATGTCTAGGATATTCTACAAACTTGAGCTGCACGTGACAAACGATATAGTTAGGAAAGAGATGAAATAAAGACATAAGATACATACTGAACCGAGTAAAGAAAAAGGCATGATCAAGTGTATTTTAACTATATTATTTAACATACTAAACACGTAAAGTCCATTCAAATCAATACTCGAACTTAATAGAAATCGATCAGTAACAAGTGGGCAAATAATACGAGAACATAAAGCATTGAGGAGAATAATGTAAATAAACAAGTCAATCGACGGCTTCTTTGTCTGATGCATTGGTGAGGAATGTTTGGATCACTTTAAATCAAGAGACCCAATAACCTTGGGCCGGCCCATGCCCACTGAGTCAGAGTTACTGTTCTATACTTTTTCATTTACGTTTGTACGAAGAATAATATTATTTATAGTTAGCAACTGTTAGTAGTCATCTTATGTGACAATTTCTTATTTAGGGTCCGTTTGATTACAAAGATGAAATTTGAATGGAAAAAAAAAAAAAGAATTCAAGTAATTGAATTACCTAGAAATTATTTTATTGGAAATTGTTAATTATTGTGTTTGATTGATATAATTTTTCACGTGAAAAATGTTAAAATAAAAGTGTTTTTTGTGTTCGTTTGACTTTATTTTACATGAAAATTATCAATTAAAGGGATAGAATTTACTGGTATTGAAGATAGAATTTGTTTCTATTGCAAAAAAAGAAAAAAAAAAACTAGGAAAATCATTTTTCTTTTGGTGTTCGTTTGACATGCAAATTGTCAATTAAAGAAAAATATTTTTTTTATAATTAGAGATAGAATTTGTTTCCATTGGTGGGAATTGATTTTCAAGGAAAACCAAGAAAATATCTAGGTGGTAAGAAAATCAATTACCTGGAAAAAAAATATGCTATCAAACAACAAAAAAAGGACGTTCGAATTTGAATTTCATTTTCCATAAAAAATAATGTGCTATCAAACATGCTCTTAATGAATTTGCTTGTTATTATCAAGTCATTCATTAATGCCTTAAATAACAAACTATCACATGAGATGATTATTGACGATCGTTAACTATGAATAATATTATTTTTGTATAAATTCTAATACGGTATTCTGAATTTGGTTGATTTAATTGCAACACATAGCTACATTTAAGAGCCGTTTGACAACTATTATTATAGAAAAAGGAGTTTTGAATAGTGATTTAAGGAAAATGTGTGGTTAAAACATAGGAAAAAAATTTAGTATATGTATAGAATATTTTGTTGTATGAATGTATGGTTGAAAATAATCATATAACAAACCATAAAATAAATTAATGAGGGTCAAACCAATACTAAATTTCATCTTATTGTCTGTAATTTGTAATGAAGTGTGTGCTGGGTTAAGCTTATAAGAAAGAATTAAAAAGTGCTTTAAGTTATTTTAATTTATAAGTAACAATTTGCCTTTTTACAGACTCGTTTCTATATTTATTTTTTCTTTTTGATTGGAGTCTGAATTTTCTTCGTTATAGAAATTAGGACATCAATTTGATTACTATTGAATTGAAGACACCAAAATCTTGGTGCATTTTTAATGAAGGTTACTGTAGTTTCGGAAGGTCAGAATTTAGTGTAGAAACAAAAAACGGGGAGCAGTTCACCAGCACCAATAATACTATCAGTGTGTTACTAATTGCAGGGCAATGATATATGTGGCAGCCCCCTATTGGGGGACGTCACACGAGGGCTGTCCAAGGAGTTTAATCCTTAACCCATTAAATCTCATCAAATTAAATTTTTATTTCATCTTTTCAACCACACAATTTTCAATAAAATAATATTATACGTAAATAAAAAATATTTCATTCTTTTACAACATTCATTTTTCAAAAAAATATTATTCCTCCCATTATAATACAAATTAATGGGGCCAAACGTGGACCTTAATTGCATCAAAGCCTAGGTTGCCTCCCATGTGTATACAGTTATACTTAGTGCATGTTTGGTATTAAAATTTTTCCTTAAAAAATTAATTTTTTTTACTGTTATTTCACTATTTCAGCCGTCATTTTTAACTTCTTCTCTCAAAGATAGAACCAACTTTTCTCTTCAACAGTCAAAAAATTAATTCTCCAAATCACTACCGAACAAGCCATTACCGTGTTGTACAGTAGAAATTATTAATTACAAAAAATTCAAATTAATTGTTTTGAATAATATTTTCCATATTATAGTTAAAAGGAAATCGTAAAAAAAGGAGTCAACCCCTATAATTAGCCGTAAAACCTATTCCGTAATGACAACAAAGACCTTTCATTAGTTTCATAATTAATGATTAGTGAAGTAATTAAGAATCATAATTAACCATGCCGTTAAAGTGAGGGGTTAAATATCTTTCTCAAAGATAGACTGTCGTATTACTCACTCATTTTGACTGAGAAATTAACGGAACCGTCCCCTCACGTACCTGTTTTTCACAAATTTCAACAAGCAATTAAATAGGAAAAAATGGTGGAAAAATTGCAGTCTCCCACAACTATTTCTATGGAAAATTGAGCTTCAACTTTCAAAAAAAGCAAAGTAAGTCGTCAACTTTTTTTTTTTTATAGCTAGGGATGGCAATTGACGGAACGGACCTCCCTGTCTCGTGTCCCTTCAAGTATTTTCAAGGAATGTGACATGATTAAGATATTTTCATTCATTGTGCAATTAACTTAATTATTTATATTATTTATCTTGAATACAATTTAAATTAAAAATATTATTAATAATATAAGATAATAGTCAAAGTGAATCATACAAAGCAGGATAAGGCCATTTTGCCAACCAAATTTATTATGTAAAACCAATTGTTAACAATAGAAACTAGTCGTGTCTATTAAATCATCATGTTACCATTATTACTTGACTATATTAATTTAGTTCCAACTTTGGTTGGCCCTTTAAATTTTAGGTTATACGTTTTTCACTAAGAATATATGACCATCATTTAAAGTAAACTAATAAGGCGTAAACTGTTCGGAGGATTAGCTAAAGATCATCAGCATCTCATTAATTGAATTTGAACCAATATCTTGGATTTTTTTAGCTTTTACAGTTGTCTATAAATGTATGTTATAAACTGATTGTACAGAAACAAATTATTAATGATCATTTTGCTACTCAAACAATATGTTGAGGACCAATGTTGCAATTTATCCAAAAATGCAAACAGAAAATCCGTTTCATATACATCACCCATTCACCTAGGTCCTTGAGACACGTGTCAGATGGATATTTTCCACTAGATGCGGCGGCTGGATTAAATTAATTCTTTAAATTCTCATCAAGTCAGTGATACACTAACAATTAATCGCACTAAAATCTTAATTAATTATTTCAAAAAAAAAAGAAGAAGTTAGAATTAGAAAAATTAATTTACTGTTCTGCATTATGAGGCTCCTTCGGATCCTATAAAATAGTGCGTTTTGCAGTATTTTCGGCCAGCTGAATTCTTCTTCTTACTTGATTCACCCTTCACTCCCAAATCCTTCTCTCTCTAAAACCGAAGAATTCCTGAAGAAGAATAGCAGAGGACTGCAAGTTTCCATCTATGTTTTTACTCAGTATTTGACTGTATCCACTTTCAGTGATTCCCTTCGACCTATATTCCCTCAACTTTTCTTGAAAATTTTTCACTTTTTTTTCTTTCTAAAGAAATACATACACGCAGTGACTGTGTGTAAGGTTTATGATGCTCTCTTTATGGAAATGGGAGTCTCTTCTTTAGAGTATCATTCCTTTCCTCGAACTTTCCCGTAATAATCCTAGATTTTTTTCTTTTTCTGGTTCACGGTTTCTCTCTTTAACTTTGCTCTTTCTCTTTATTCTCAAAGAATCTCTTACCCACCTCTTTATTCTCTTTCGCTTTCAAATGGACTCTGAAAAAAGTCTTTCGATTCTTGAATGAATGCACAACGACAAGAAGAAATCATGTTGTCCAATAAAGGAGTCAAGTACAGCGAACACTTGAAGCAGACAACAATCGACAGCAACGAGGCTGGAAATTCTATTCCTGGCAGGAAAAAGCCATCCCAGATGGAGACACAGTCCGGCGACGCCGCAGACGCCAGAACAATCAGGTTTTCTTTCACCGACTCTTACGCCACTGACTCCTCCAGTGATGAAGAGGGATTCTTTATCAAACGCCAGAGAGTGAAGAAATTCATGTACGAGGTGAAAATTCAGCCAAGTTGTAGAGAAAAAGGAAGTGTCAATGTTAATGAAACTACCACTGCTCCGGCCGTTTTGGGAAATAGCCGGCGGCCGTCCAAGGCGATGAAACGGAAGAAAAGTAGTGGCAGACAGAAACAAAGCGGTGAAAATGATACCAGAGTTGGAAATATGAGGAAGTTCCGCGGCGTACGGCAGCGGCCATGGGGCAAATGGGCGGCAGAGATTCGAGACCCCTTTAGGCGTGTACGGCTGTGGTTAGGCACATACGACACGGCGGAGGAGGCTGCTATGGTATACGATCACGCGGCGATCCAGCTGCGTGGTCCTGACGCGCTCACAAATTTCTCAGCTCCTTCGCGAACGGACAACAAAACAAACTCCGGCGAGGAGTCCGACAACATTGTGAAATCACCTAAGTCTGTTCTCCGATTCTCCTTGGCGACTGACTCGCAAACCGAAGCTGAAGCTGAAGCCGAATCATCGTCGATCTTTTCGCCGCGAAACAATGCCGTTTCGTTGAAGGAGAATGAGGATATTGCCTTATGGGAGAACCTCTCGGACTTTCCAATATTTCCGTCGGGTGAAGATATGTTGCGGGGATTCGAGGACCCGCTTCCCGTACTCGGTTTGTTCGATCAAACGGGTTTCCCAGATTGTATCCTCGGGTTTAATTTGGATTGTTGCAACGACATGCTTGTTGAGTCTAGCAACGATGCCGGTTTTGGGCAGACGGATGACTACTTTCAAGAATTTGGTGATATATTCGGGTCGGATCCTCTAGTTGTACTTTGAGTTCTGAAAAGTTTTAAGAACGAATTCGTTTCAGTGAAGAAGATTATGCACAACGGCGGGATTTGCGAATTAGCAAGAAATAAGAACATCCATCTTTTGCTGAATTATCGGATGTTTTTTTCTTTTTCTTCTTGGGTTTTGGTGTTGGTGTGAATTTATTAATTTATGAGTAGTAAATTGCAATTATTACAATTATTGTTGCTATTTTAATTATGAATTATTTCTAAGATGAGATGAGACATGTCTTTTGTCATGTGACTTGCAAAGTTGTGAATTAGGTGAAGGATTAAAATGGAATGACTCCAAAATGTACCAAAAGGGTTGCCTTGCTGGTTATAAAGATAGAATTTCCTTTGGCAATATAAAGCTATTTCAAATCCACCACTGTGCAGTGAATTCGTGTATACATAGAAATAGAGAAATTTTTTAGTGTGGATTTCAAAGTCTTCTTAGATTCTTCTAGTTGACACTAAAATGCGTATTACGTGTTAAAAATATTTAGACGTGTAATAGGATGTTTCAAGTGTTACAAGAGAAGATACAATTAGTCCAATGTAAAATATCCTTCGTATCAAGTGTTCGTAGGGTTGTAGACTTGGGTGTGGCCTGGGAAAAAATTGGTTCGAGCCAAAGCTCAACTGAAAATTTGTGGCTTGGCTTGAGCCGTACCGAGCAGTGCCAGTTTATATATATATAAAGTAGATAGTGAGCTGCCTGAAAAAAGGAGGTCATATGTTGCCTGTGCATGGGTTTGTAACATGGGCCATTTTTGGCCTATCGCACAGGCCAACTCAGGCTAGGACTTTTTACGTGGCCAGGTCGTTGACCGTTGGAGCCAACAAGCCGTTTTAACACCCTTAAGTGTTCATCTTGTAATTATATGAATTGAAACCGATGGGTAAACATTGTCCTAACAAGCTTTTAAAGCATTTGTTGAGGCTTTACTTGTGAGTATCGAGTTCGCTAGTGGCTCAGTTGTCAAGGTTGTGTATAATAATGTTGAGGAGTCATTTGACGGATCACATGTCTTGTAGCTAATGTTGGCTTGACATGTTAGTAATTGAGGGTCTCAATAGCTTTATGGCAAGTTTTTTCTACCTAACAATCTACATGAACCCTAGTAGATAATATGCGTGTCACGTGAAGAATAGGTTTAAAGTCTATTGCCAAATCGAACCATAGCCTTAAGAGAGTTTCAGGTTTTTTGAAAATTGTAAAAGGCTTTTGCTATTGTTTAGGAATGGCAGAGAAACCCGCCCACCCGCCAGCCCGCCCCGCCCACCATGGGGCAAAAAAACCCGCCTCAATGGGTTGGCGGGGAGGGGTGTAAATTGTCGTCCCGTCTCGAGTCTTAGGGGCGAGGCGGGGCATGGCATAGTGGGGATGTCCCGCCCCATGCCCCCCTTTTCTTTTTGTTGTAGTTCCTCCTGCTGGATGAATGCCCGATTTGTTTGGGATGAGTGGCCTATAGGTTGGTCTTACATCCCCGCCCCGTGCTTTTTTTTTCGTTGTAGTTCCTCCTGCTGGATGAATACCCAATTTGTTTGGGATGAGTGGCCTATAGGTTGGTCTGTAGCACATCCCATTATACAATAATTAGTTATTCAATTATGCGTGCTTACGGGAATTCTGCATCTGCAGTCAAAGCAATAAACTTCATTTGACGGAAACTAAAATAAGGATGTTCTAAAGAAGCGAAAATAAGAATTTGAGGCATGGCTGCAGGAAATTATTCAGCAAAGCATGAAATAGTAAATTTGAAATTATATAGTACAAAAAATTAAAATTAGAATTTTTTTGCAGTATGTGGATGAAAAAAAGAGTTCTAGTATTTATATCTCTAGAAATTTAATGAGGAATTTTACTATTGCAGTTCTTTCTCGCTCTTGCAATTTAAAGTTCAAAAATAGAAATCTGCAGTTCAACGAGGACCCCTTCAAAGTAATACACATCCCATTATGCATAATTGAAAAAACAAAAAAATGGTTCAAGAAACGGGGCAAGCCCCTCGCCTCACCTGGGTTTGTACCGCCCCACTGCCATCCCTACTATTATTAATGTTACTTAACTGTTAAAATAACTGAATGACTTATTTTTAAAATTGATCAATAAAATTACTCGATCACTTATAATTAACTTAAATAAGTAAATTTTTTTAGGCCTTACGATCTACTCACATAATCAAGAAACTAGATTCAAGGGTGAGTCGTAATTGTTTATAGCGATCGACCTCTTAGCCCATTAAACCTAAACCTGTCTCATTAATCTTCGAAAAGCTTGGAAAAAAAAAATGTTACTATTTTTTAAATAAAAAAAATTGAGCACAGAAAATGATATCATGGTTCGGAAAGGCAGGCCAATGTATTTGTCTTTACCGACAATTTCCTTTGGATGAATCAAAATCATAAATCATCAACGTATGGAGACGCCTTCAGTTTTATTTCCTCAGGTGATGTTCTTTGGGACCCTTACTCGTGTGTTTGTCTGCCGGCCAAATTTAGTAAATTAAAAGTTATATTAGGACAAACAAACCCCAATATTTCTCCGAAAATTAGTTCCGATGCGTTACCGTTTGATGATTTTAGAGGAAGACCGTCAATTTAGTAATAAATACTACATTGGAATTTAGAACGAATTGGAGCGATGAAAAATATTTATGTCATGAATCTTAATTATGTTGAGAATAATCTTAATTTTCTATTTTTTTCAGCTTTAAACTATTGTTAACTTGTTTGATGCAAATTAAGAAAATGTAGGATCTAAAAGAGTACCAATAAGAACAAAGAATGAACGAAAGCATGTTTTCTTTCAAATGAATGTGTTGTTAGTTAGATGAATTAATTTTCTATATTCTGCTCAATTAATCTTGATCTCAATTACAAGATCTAGGACAATTTGATTTATGTCCACCTAAGTTTGTCGTGAATTTAAATTAAGATTTAAGTTAGGATCGGGCATAGTAACATACTTGTTCGACTAGATGCTCACAATCACTACTTTCCTTTTCAAGTGGTGTGCAAATGCTTCACTTTTCACTATGCCACGAAAACTTTGACTTAGCTCCCAAAGGTAGTCAATCCTACTTTGATTTACTTTCACCTACTACCCCCATATTCCACTATTAGGTAGGATGGTAAATTTAGAGGATGCATGTATGTTTTCACAGCTTAAGTTCAAAAACTCCATTTTTAGAAATATAACACTAATAATATTAAGGAAAAAGAAGCTAAAATAATACTCATTAATTAGCTTCTTATAGTTTTCACTCAAATGACGAGCTCACAACACACACTCCCATGTGTTCACCGAATCAAGAATCAGAGGCGGACCCATAGTGGGTCCTAATGGGTCACGTGACCCACCAACTTTCAGAAATTGATTTTTTTTTCTTTTTGGCCTTCAGTCCTCTTCAGTAGAACCCAGAAGAAGACTCCAGTGCCCAAATGGAAAAATTGAAACCCATCCCTAGTTCCCTTCCCTTGGAAAATCAAAACTCACTCTTCTTCTTCTTCTTCTTCTTCTTCTTCTTCTTCTTCTTCTTCTTCTTATGTTGATGAACACTCTTCCACCGACATAGCATACTATAAATGTGTTTAGTTGTGTGTATTGTGTATGTATTTAAAAAGAAAAGTTCCATAGTGAATCCATCCGTGATTGGTGATATCACAATTCAGGAACTGAGTTGGGCAAGGATCTTTGGACTATCAACACATAGATATTGAATTATTTGGCTGTCGATCAGAGAAATGTGTATTGTATTGTGTATGTAATTATCATGTAATAAGAAAGTGAGAGAACTGAGAGTGGAAAGAGAGGTAAAGGATTAAACAAAGAGAGGAGAGAGAGAGAGTTGTGAGTGAATAAACTAGAAAATCATAGAAACCAGTATGCCACCGTGTGTTTTATTGGAATGAGAAAATTTCATTTGTGATTTGGGGGAATAAAATAATAAAATATTGGATAGTGGTCTTTGATGATCAAAGTTGTGTAACTTCATTTCATTTCATAAAATTTTATTTTTCATGTCTAAATTTAATAGCGATGATCTAGAGTAGTCGGATGAAAATGTTTTGGTTATCCATATATTTCGATAATTTTTTTTTTCAAACATTTTATTTTTATTTTTCGAGCACCGTATTAAACCATTCTATTGCATATCGAACATTTTTATTTTTTATTTTTTACAACATTTTTGCAATTTTGATTGTGTCAGGGACAGATCTAGGTTCCGGCTAATACATAACAAACTAGGCTAACATGTAAAAAAAATTAAATGTACACATAATTTTTATACTTATTTTTATTTATTTATTTATTTTTGCCCTAAAAACTATTAAGAGGGTGTTTGAGACTCATTTTCATATAAAAATGCATTTTAGAATAGTAAAATAATAAAAAATATGTGGTTAAAAAATGAGGAAATTTTTTTGATTTACATGTAATATTATTTTGATAAAGAATGTGCGATTAAAAAGAAGAAAGAGAAAAATACATTTTGAAGAAAATGGGTATCAAACGGGGCCTAAGTGAGCTGGGGAGGGAACTGGGCTACAGCCCAACCCAATCTCCTATATCCGAGATTGTGCCCTATTAATTCAAAATTTTTGTGTCTGTCACTGTCAAGAATGTTAAATATCAATCTACGTGGTGTTATGATAACCATGATATTGACCAAAATGAAGTTGTGTTTATTGAATAATAACACAAAGGTAGTGATCACACCAAGGGCGGATGGACGTGGTAGGTCCAGCCCAGTATAAAAAAATATTGGTCCCTTTGACTCCGCCCCTATTATAATACTGCTACATTAGTTCAGATTTAACACCACTAAAGTTGAATAATATTACTAGAAATTTCATATACAAAAAACCTATATTTTACTACTTTTGGCTTCTTCGCATATTCATAACTCTTGCAAGATATTGTCGTATTCCTCTTCCATTTGTATCATAACTATACATTGAGGAAACGAGGGTTTTTACTGTCTGCAAGAAGGCTCAAATTACAAGAATTTTTATGACAGTTATCAGTCGTTTGAATCATGATTGAATTTTGTGGTCCTATGATGAGCTGCTACTTCTGAGACATAGATTCGGACAAACGAGCGGCCTTATTGCAACCTCTGCACCACAAGAAAATATTTACTTATACCACATATATATACACTGTTGTATACACTTCAGGGAAATAGAAATGCCAAATTACGTGAGCCAAGAATTTATTAATTACTTTTCGTATTTTTTTTCTGAGCCA